GTGAGTTGTATTGTGTTGGGGGGGGGGCGACAAAGGGAGGCTCATTGTACACATGTTGTACTCTGACAATAAAGGTTTGAATTTTGGGGGGATGAACTTCCTCGCACCCTTCCCTCCTAAAGGCGATTCTTCTTTGTTCCCCTTAGCTGATTGGCTGCATCATTGGCCGCCAGGGAAGCAAGATCAGTGAGATTCGGCAAATGTCGGGAGCGCACATCAAGATCGGGAATCAGACGGAGGGTTCTTCTGAACGTCATGTGACCATCACAGGCACACCAGTCAGCATCACTTTGGCTCAGTACCTCATCACAGCCTGGTAAGAGCCAGTACAGCCTCTGGGGGAAGATGAGGCAGGGAGGAGACCCTATGGTCACAGGTATATGCAGGTATTGCTGTGGCTTCCTCCTCCTCCTGTGTCTAAGCCCTGGGACTTATAGATGGATAGCTTTGCAGGAACCGAAAGGCAACCCTTGGCTATGGTGGGTGAGTTGTCAGTTTGCAACCATTCTGCCTTTTATTTAATAAACAGGAATGTTAAACGGTTAACATCCTACCGCACCCCCCATGAGGGGGGAGGGTGTCAATAGTTTTGCACACTGTCTCTCCAGCCTAGATGACAGCCTCCAATCTTTGAGTTTCTCATGAGCCAGCCTAAGACTATTATCATTAACTATAGTATTTGGGGCAGCTGCCTCTGTTTTTCCCCTCAAATTCCCCTTGCAGCTGCAAGTACCGATGCGGCCTTCAGTTCCGTTCAGAAAGGACTCTTGTTTTCAGTGTGGAATAACTGCCTATTATCCACAAAACGACAGCACTTGAATGGAATACATGAAAGGGTATTTGCCATGGTGTATCATAATCTGGCACTTGAGATGCTTTAAGATTTGGAGCAGGAAGTAACTGTTGCTCTCCTTTTGTGCATCATGGCCACTGGGGTATAGGCTGGTAGGACATGGCCTGCTTTTTGGAGGATGCGCTTTCCTGTTTATACAGTCAGTTTTCTGATGGAAATCATCCTGGCACTTATTTTACATACTAATATATTTACATATTCAAAACCAAAGTAAGCTAAATTTTATCACCGCTGCTGCTTACCGCCTTCATCCTGGACAGGGAAATTGGTTTCAGGGTGCAAAAAATTCAGATACTGATTCAAGCCATTGGTCAGGCGTCCAAGACATGTGAGTGCCTGAAATACCTTGGGATGTCTTGATTATATAAACAGGAGCTGCTAACGGGTATAAGATAACTTATCCTCCCCATAACCAGCTCTGAACACTGGTCGAGGAAATAAGCTCCTCTTAATCACAGTAAAGATTCCTTACCGTCAACGTATGATCATAGTCCTAGGGGGATTCTGGAGAAAAAGATCTTATCCGGATGCTGAAATGCTTCAGAGCACCTTGTTCACTATTTCCAGTCTNGGGGGCGATATGCTGACTCTGTAAACTGCTTAGAGAGGGCTGAAAGCCCTATGAAGTGGTATATAAGTCTAACTGCTATTGCTATTGCTATTGACCCATATATTCTCATCTGCCTGATTCCCACACTAGCACAGATAGCTGCATGAGAATATGGTTTTCATGTGGCTGGTGAAGCCAGTCAATATTTTTTTGCCCCTTGGTTGGTGCAGTAAGCCAACATTTCTTGACTCGAGCTATTGCTTTTCTGCTCCTGACCAGCTTGTAACCAGACTTAAGTATTTGTTGTCTTGGGGTATAGCCAATAATCTGTGCTGAGCATTTGAACACCAAAAAATTACAAGGCCAACGCAGCTTAGTGAGAGCATTGTTTGAAAGGTTTCTACAAAATAGATACTTGGAAAGCTTTGCCCATAATAAATAGAGAATATATTTGTTTAATGATAGAACTACTGATCAGAATGAATTTCCAAATCTAGATCCATTGGCCTCTACTAGTGTTGTGTTGAATGCTGTCCATGTGCTTGTCCTGAAAGCAGGACAAGAAGTAATGGATGGAAACTAATCAAGGATAGAAATAACCTGGAACTAAGGAGAAATTTCCTAAGAGTTGGAACAATTAATCAGGGGAATGATGTTTCCAGAAGTTGTGGGTGCTCCAACACTGGAGGTTTTTGAGAAGAGATTGGACAATGATTTATCTGAAATGGTAAATACGGTTTTCTTCTTAAGAGTGGGTTGCACTAGAAGACTTCTAAGGCCCCTTCCAACTGTGTTACTCTGTTATTTGTGTATTGTGGGTAGAAAATTATTCTAATATGAAATCTGTTGTCTGCATAACCAATACACATCCTGCCTCTCTTGTTTCTCATCTCACTTATAGCCGAATTATGGCCCTGTTTTAGGATGCACAGTGTGCAATAAGCAAGGTGATCTATCACCCATCCATCCATCATCTACGGTATCTATTCATCAATCTCTTCCTTAAAGATGGTTTTTGAATGCGAGAAAGAGCAATCAACTGAGAAAAAATGCAAGCGTCTTCTTTGGTTCCTTCCAACTCACATTCAAGGTAAAGGAAAGAAAATCAACATTACTTCCCAACTCTTTGCTTCATAATAATAGTACGTCCAGAGTAGTGGCAACCATTTATGAGATGTTCAGCTTATTTTGTCTCCCTGAGATAGAGAAGAAAGAGACTGTTCATAGATGGTCTGGATAAAAGACAGAAATCTAACACTGGCTTGGGTTTTGGAATGTAGTTCAGGAAAGTTTTCCATCCTCATGACAGATCCTATGATAAACCCTTGGCATAAGCAGGAGGGCCAATTACATACCCAGAAAGAGCTGTCTGAGAATGGATCTCCCTATTCTCATCATTTTATTTAAACTTTATTAAAAATTCTCTCTACAGAAATTGATGAGACAATCCTCCCTCCCTCCCTCCCTCCCTCCCTCCCTCCCTC